CTGCTGATTTATTTAGAGCATGTGAGGTGCCAGCAGTGTGCTCAGCATTATCAAACAAATCCTGTGCCCTTGGGTGCTCCCTGACAGACCAAAGCGCACCGAGAAGCCTGTGCAGTGCAGGAGAGCAGATGTAGCAGACCTCCCAGGGGCAATAGGTCCCCAGGAGGAACCTCTAAGGGGAGGTGAAGGACTTGGAAGCCAGCACAGCCTGCCAGGCATGGGACCAGAAAAAGCCAAAGGAATTGGTGGGAGAGGGATTAGTGAGAGGTCCACGACACAACGGCCTTGTCAGGGTTTAAAATAGTGGTGACCTTTCATGGGCAGTAATAAAACATGCTCAGACTGCTACTTGGAGCAATAGCTGGCCATGTATCTTTCTGCTCCTGACTTTTTGTTGTTGTCATTATTGACAAAATTGATGGGAGCGATGTCTGGCTGAGCCATGCAGCGCTGGATTTTATAGCTAATTACACACCACAAAATTCAATAGAGCCATAAAATACATTTTATGGAGGGGCGCCTCGCAACCTGCAAGCCCTACATTTGGGAGGGACAAGTAGGCCTCGGAGGCAACTATGAATCAACCATAACCTTAAATCTTTTCATCATAAAATTGCACTTCCTTGCATCAACGTGATTGAGTTCTGTTCATCTGTCTTCAAACTCCTTCAGAATTAGACCTGCTTCTCAGCTGAAGAGCACGCACAAAATGTTAAGTTCTTCCCCTACCTTTAGTCTTGTCTTTGAGTGTCCTACTGAGAAAGGTCAGAGAAAGTTCGATGACTCTTTGGCAGTTAAACTGAACATAACATCTACACTGGTTTTTCTTCAATCAAGTTACCAGTTTCCCCCATATTGGTAAAAGAAGCCTGAGCTTTGCTCTAGCTGAATACAAACTGAGATTGGGTTTGGGAAGGAGAGAGAATTTTTAAGTATGTAGAGGTGCTCCTCCCTTCCCTTCCCAAAGTGGCTGTATGAAAGGGACACCACTGTTAATTTTAAGCCTGACTTCTTACACAGGCCTGTATATAGCAGTGCCGATAACACAGATAAACTTCCTGGCTTTTGGTTCCAGTTAGACGTGTGACACTTTCCCATCTCAGAAGGACTGACAAGGTTTTATTTACTGCTTCACATCAGTCCAACAATCATCCACAGGCTGTGTTTTTTCCTGGGTGAGAAACACCGGAGGGAAATGAAGCGGGGGATCGGTGGCATTTGTGATGTACTGAGCTGTGGTTGGGAAACCTCGCCCTGCCAGTCTCCAAGCCAGCGTCCAGTCTGTGACCCCAGGCCAGCAGAATGGGACACGGGTTTCACAGGGTGGCCTTACAGATGTGTAACCAGCACGATTCAGTGGGCTGCACTTGATGTGGCCAGTGGAAACCTGTAATTTGTTCCTGAACCTGATCATTTCAAAGCAGATAAATTAATTGCCCTTATCCTTAATTTAGCTTGTCCTTTCCATATTTTGTTCATGATTATGAAATAAGCTGGATGCTTTTCATACCCAGCTGAACTATTTATTTCAGTGACTTCTCATAGCTGTTAATTCTGCCAGATTAAGGTTCATGAATACATGCAGGTTAACTGCCTTTGTGCACTTCAGTCTGTTCATGCAGCACTGTAATTCCTGTAACACACTGCCCGCCTTTGGCTAATGACAACCTTGTAATGGAAGGATCAGAACATTGTTAGACAGTTTTAAAACAAAAGGGTTTGTTTTAAACCCATATTCTATAGATGGAAATGGCTGAGTCGTTTTCAGAATTTCTTTTAAAAACAAATCCAGTCCAGCCACATCAGACTATACCAGAAAACTATGTAGGCAATGAATTATATCTTTTGATTTTGATCAAATTAGATTTTCCTTTATCGCTTCTTAGCTGCTGTAGGTCAAAAAAGAAACTCCTCGACCTGTGAGCGTGGAGGTTGCACATCTGCAGGGGACAGAGCGCACTAAAACCACTGCCACTTCCCTGGACAGCCTGGAAGTGGGGATAAGCTCATAGCTTTATGAAGGAGGAGGTGTTTGTCTCTTTTTCGTAAATTTATAAGCCCCTTCTGGTTCTCTAGAAAGGACTTAACAGAAGTGAACCTGTATAGAGCTCTCTTCTGTTGAGCGTGATAGTGCCCAGGTTTTGCGTTAAGACATTTGGGTTGGTTTACAGATGAGCTGAAAGGGAGTTTGGGCGGCCCATGAGACTCTAGCAAATTTTACTCGTTATCAAGCATTACTGTCCTCTGTAATCTCCTCCTAAATAGCCCCTATTCTGTACAAGTTTGAGCGACTTGGTAAAGGTTCAGCCCATCCATCCCTTGTCGGTTTTAGGTCTAAGAACTAGCCCTTTAAATTCAAAGACTCTCTCGTATTTAACTACAGCAAAGCAAATTCTCTTTCAATGTATTTTTGGGGTGAAACTTCACATGTCTCTGGCCTTGATGCTCATGGTCTAATGTGTTTATTGAGGTGCTGGAGGACCGTGTGACAGTGATTGAGCCCCATCACCTCTCCTTTGTAGACCCGGAGATTCCCAGTGAGAAAATCCTGTTCAACGTGACCGTCCCCCTCCTTCCTGGCCAAGGCAAGTGTACCCACCCAAAACATGGCAGCTTGCTGCTGAATTAATTGCCGTGCTTTCTGAGCACATGTAATTTTTCCCTCAGAGTATCATTCTGTGGAGGCATCTGTTAATCTGTTTGGCCTCCTACATTTGCTTTCAAACACGTTTCTTAACCTGCTATCTTTGGCTTGTTTAGGAGTAAGCCGCAGAGCTCAGCCAGTTTTCTTACTATTGTCTGGAATATATCGAATGTTGTACCCCATGGCTTCCTGCTTTTCACCTCTCTAGTGAGAGGTATTTGAAGAAATGATTGAGTGAGGAATCTCTGTTTAGTTTATCATGTCCCAAGAATCCATTCTCGATGCAGTTACAGCCACCTGCCTCATTCAGGAACCACTGCAGATGTAAAAAGAACTACCTGGGGAGAGAAAAAGAAGCTGTGGTATGTTGTTTTAAAAATAAAATGGATTTCTCTGTTAATACTGAGCTCTCTGCCTCCGTAGGTATCGTGGAGCATAGAGACAGGCCTCTCTCCCCAGTCAGGTACTTCACCCAAGCGGATATAAACCATGGCAAGATTGCTTATCGTCCGCCGACTGCAGCTCCTCACTTGAGAGAGATCATTGCCTTCTCCTTTGCGGGTAAGGAATGGAATGTTCTTCGCAGTGCCATGTCAGACTGGTAGAGGTAGCTGGACTTCTGGTCCTCCTCCAGTCCCAGAATGACTTTGTGATTATGTCCATACTCACAAGGGCATGAGGCTTGAACGATACAAAGGAAGTAGGACTCTGCCTTCGAGGAGCTTACCAAGAGTTCACCTCTTTTTTGCGACTTCAGCAAGATTTTCACCACCCTGTGGTTTGGAGTAGCAACGTTCAGTGAACGGTGGGGATTTGGCAGTGTTCGCTGCAGCATTTAGCATTGCCAGCGCTACCACTGGATGCTGCGCTGGGCAAACTGCTCATCTGCTGCTGTGTGCTTAGGAACTGTTGCCCTTCCCATGCTTGAGATCTTTGCTGCTCCGGGGGTTTAGTCCTTGAGACTGAGACTAGAATTGATGAACTGAATCAATTTAACCAGGATATTAGAAGGTTTCTACCATCAGAGGAGAAACAGTCTGGAGCAGGAGGTAGAGGGGCAAAAAGAGGACACACTTCAGCATGTTTGACCAGTTGATGCGCAGGATCCTGTGACGAGGTGACAGTACATGGTAGATGCAGTTCTGTGCATCACCATGCCTTCCACTGACCTCAAGAAGAGTTTCAGGGTTTGGAGGAGGGAGTAGCATGTTCTCTCTCATTACCTGGAGTGTAAGCAAGGAAAGCGCGCTTTTACTTGGTGAGGAAAGATTCCACTCTGGCTGAATGTCAGCACTTGCTTTCTCCAAAAGTTCTTCAAATCCCCATCAGTATGTGCTTTCCTGTCCTGACCACAATTACTCTGTGCTTGCGTTTGTCCCGTCAGGTCTCCCAGAGTCAGTGAGCTTCCGATTCACAGGTATGTGAACCATTTGCTCTTTCCCAGCCAAAGCAGTTTTTGTCCTTCTGCCCTTCATGTTGCCTGTTATCCCTTGGCTTTGTCTCTGCTGCAAGCACACCTATGGGCACTCAGTAGGAATTTCTGGAAATGCATGTGCCTGGGGAATATTAATTCATCTGTGGCCCAACGGTGTTTTATAGAAGCTAAACTGCATTGCAATGGAAGCACCTTTTTCCAGTAGTTGCCTAGAATCTGTCCTAAAAGCCTGATTGATTCCAGTTTTCCCCCAGTGTGAACAAGGACATCAGAGTTTTGCTCTGCTTTTTTTTTAATAGAGCATGGAAACATTTCCACAATTAAATTGCTTTTGATAAGCTGCTTGCTTGTTTAACATGCCTTGCCCTTTCCATGTACATTCTAGCACAGGTATGCAAAGTGATCCACCAGCAAGGAGAGGTCCATGTTCTGACTTACGAGCACACCTGATAGACGTATGGCAGATAGCACGTACGCATGCACACACACACACAGACTTTGACAAGTTTGTCTTGCTAAGAGTTGAGTAAGGGGCAAAGATAAATACTCTCGGCAGGTGTGAGCTGTGTGTGTATGTCCATAGACAAAGGCGTAGATTGACAAGGTAGGAGAGGAGCCAGCGATGTGGGGTGGTGATTTTGTAGAGAAAGGTGAATTTTCCAGGTGAGTCCCTGAAAACACATCCCTACGCTCAGGTGTGGTTTTTGTCTATGTCTAGTGTCTGATGGAGAACACACAACCCCGGAGATGCCGTTTGTCATTCATCTGCTCTCTGCAGAGCAGCAGCCTCCAGTCTTCCAGATCACAGCTCCGTTCCTGGAGGTCAGCCAGGGGGGCAGAGCCACCATTGGTGAGTAGGGTGGAAGGGAGGGGGTGCAGAGCCCAGCCTGAGGCGTGGTGTTTATTGCCAGGAGGCCACAGGGATGGAGCAGGGGAGAGTTTTGGTCTCACTCACCTCTGCCCATTTAGCTAAGGAGCTGTGGTTGTGCAGGTGTAGCAGCAACCACTGAGAAAACTGGGCAAGTAGCACCTGGGGATGTGGCGGTGCTCCTCCAACGTATGGCAGGTCCGTTGGTTGGCTGAGGCCGGGGAGAGCAGGATCAGGCACCTGCTGCTCCTCTGTTTTTTCCCTCTTAGGCTGCTCTGCAATTGCTGAACGGCTGATTAGTGGTGGGGGTAGAAAAAGCCACTTTCTGCTTGTGTCAGGAGGTTCTCTGGGGGTTTTGTAGATCCCTCCCTGCTACATGAGCGTGTGCACATCTCTCGTAAGCTGAGGGTTTGCATAGCTGTCATTTGTGAGCCTTACTGGCAATAAGTTCTCTGATCTGAGTATCATCAAGGGACCAATTATTTCCGTGAAACCAGCAAGCTCTTGGGCTAAGGCAGCTGCAGAATTATTTTACTTTTCACATACTAACTGGATTACAGTTTTTTGACTCCATTCACAAGAGCGCAAAAACCTAAGGGATATTCCCAGTGCGCTGTCTGAGGATACTGCTCTCTTTCCCCGGCACAGGGATCCAGTTAGCCGTGAGTGACACAGATACAGCTCCTGAGGGTCTTTTCTTTGAGCTGGTGAAACCTCCCCTTCATGGCATTGTGCTCAAGTACAGCGCAGGCGTGCAGGAGCGCATGAGAGCCGGTGAGTTGAGCAGAAGTCTTCCTCGGCACAGGAGAGGGGTCAGCGTGTGCCTATCTACCTCACTAGTTTAGTTGGCCAGGAGGGGACAGGCACCTCTGGCAGATATGGCTGCATCCACCAGCGTGTGAATTTTCTGCCTGGAAGTGTGTGGCTGCAGGAGAGAGTCCATGAAAGACATTTTCCCATTTTCTGTTTCATTCCTGGCTGAGTCAGCATGTTGCCCGTACCAAGTGTGTGGGGGCTAGTTGACAGTCACTCTGTTGTGATAGCTGTAACCAGCTAATCAAAAGGGATGTTTTGTTTTACATGGTAAGTTATATCTGAAGTAATTTAGTGAAGTAACACGGCGAACATTTCTACTGAAGTCCATGTAAACCTGTTGTGATCCAGCAGTCAAAAGCTCCTGTGGAGTTTCACCGTTGACTTTGGTGGTAGCAGTTTCCAGTGTGTGATCAGATGAACAAATATTATCTGTAGGAGAGTAGTGCAAGCAGAAGACATGGAGAGGGAAGCCTTATCTAGCTATGACAGGCACGAGCTTACAAAGCAGCTGGGAAGAAAAGGAGGATCTGTGCCCTCCCAGAGAATCGTGAAGGGTCACCGTGTCTGTGAAACTGTGAAGGTTACAGCTTTTCCTCTGCGCTGCGTATATACTAGCTCCCTAATGAATGTCTTCATAACTCACGTCCCTGTAAGGATGGTATTAAATGCCAGTTTAGTACGCGATTAAGTCTTTTGCTAAATTGAGATTTGGACTGGTGCTCTGAACAGAGCCTTTCTGACTTGTGCATTTTCTTTTGGGGAAGGTGACACCTTCACCTACGAGGACGTCACTCGAAATGCTCTGCAGTACGTGCACGATGGTTCGGCAGCAGCAGAGGACAGCATGGAAATCTCTGTCACCGACGGTGTCACCACAGTCACCACAGTGCTGAGGGTGGAAGTGTCCCTGCTGGATAACAACGGTCCACAGCTGGCCCCGGGCTGCTTGTTGGCAATCACTGTGGCTAGTAAAAGCTCTGTGACCCTCTCTCGTTTGCACCTCGCTTATATTGTAAGCTTTCATCTACTTCTAAAGCCAGCGAATGCTGCCAGCTCCCCTTTCCTGATGCCCCCACAGCCCCTTTGTCACACACGCACTCTCTGCCGTGTGGATTCTTGGTAGAGAGCTCGAGTTTTGACTGTGTCCTGGCTACTGCTGCCAAAAAGGTGATAATAGATTCCTTCATCCAACAGGGTTTTAGGGCTATCCCTGTTTGACTGTAACAGAGGTGAACCGCCACGCTAAACATGAGAACTGAGTTAATCCCAGATTTTTGTATCAAATAAGACTTGCTAATAAAGCACATGGATTTGCTAAGCGATAATCCCTTGAAAGTTTCAGCCCCCTTACCCCCCCTTCCAAAATTGCCTGGTTCTTTTTCTGGACATATTTGAAGGGAGGAGGGTTTAAGCAACCCAAGATGCTGCACTCCTCGGTAGCTTGGAGCTGGTCCCAGGGGCTGCATGTTGTACAAGAGTTATCGTGCCGGTGAAATTCGGAAGAAAGGTATTTTACTTCCTGCAGATGATTTAGCAGCAAATGCCCTAGCAGTGGATTTCAGGTATGCAGATACGCTCCCCTTGGGGAGGAGGGAGGAGAGACTGCAGGGCACATGTGAGGCTGGAGAGACCTAAGGTAGCGGCTGTCAGGGAGGTGGTTCGGGAACTGCAGGGGGTGAGGTAGGGTAAGGGGGAAGATGAATGTTTTTTCCAAGGGATCAGTCTGGGTACAAGTCTGGGATCTGTCCTGTTCTCCTCTTAAGGAGGAAGGCTGGCAAGGGAGCTGTGCAGGTTTAATCGGAGGAAGAGGACAGTTAGGGAAAAGATGATTTCATTCCTGACCCATATGCTAAGGGTGTGATGATTTCTGCTTTGGTTTTATCTCTTGAGCAACCAACAAAAACTTTTGGAAGAAAGATGACGTCTGAGTTGTGATATCATAGAGATGGTTGTGCTTAATGTAGTTAAAAAGAGCCAAAACTGGCTTTTAGTTTAATGTGAATCTGGCTTTTTCAGCATTGCTCCGCGTTAACCTTTGTTGTACTAAGAACTGAACTTCGCCCTGTACTTCTCTCTGAAGGAGTGGAGGGCAACAGTTCCTCCCTCTGCCCAGCTATCAGCTAAACTTTGGCTCAGTTTACCTGGAGCCGGGGAGATTGTGTTGATGCGATACAAGGACACAAAGAAAACCTCTCTGAGCTGAGAGAAAATGAAAATATATTTGAAAGAAGGGTAGATGAGGTGCTTAGGGACAGGGTTTAGCAGTGGGATGGCAGGGTTAGGGGAACGGTTGGACTTGATGATCTTAGAGGGCTTTTCCAACCTAAACGATTCTATGATTCTATATTTTGCGAATGTCAACCCGATCGACTCTTCTCTCATCAATAGCACTTCATTTAATTCTCATCAGCTGTGGGTGTGACCCAGCTAGCTTGATATACTTCCCTATAAAACATTTTATTCCTCCTTCCACTTTTAGTGGAGGGAAACAAAAGCTAAGCTTGTCTTGCTTTGATTTGTTTTGTTTCTTCGTGTTTAGGACAACAATTCTCCTGACTCGGAGATAAGAATCCAGTTAATATCTCTGCCTGCATATGGCACCCTCTTACGGATGTCTGGCTCTCATGACAAAGAGCTTTCCAAAGTTTATAATTTCACCATGGAAGACATCAACAACCAGAGGATCAGGTATCAAAGAGCTATTCTCCTTCAGGCCATGCCAGTTAAAAGCTCAGTGGGCTTTCCACAGGGATCTCTGGGCTATATTATATTAGCACAATGTATCAAAGATATTTTTCTCCTTTCTTGGCTCTTGTATCCTATGAGATTATAAATGAGAGCATTTCCTGTGTGCGGAATTGGGTGTTTACGTGTGTCTGAAATGCCAGTAGTTGGTGTAGCTTCAGACTGTGGGAATTTTTTCTGTGTCCATGTCATGGTGATACTTCAGGTAGGCAACACCTAAAATTGTGATTTAAATTAACTCAGGGAATGAACGTGAGGGAGGGTTGGGAACTGAAATACCGCCTCTCTTTCGAGGGGTGTGCGTTCACCTCTAAATGCAGGGATGAGATGCATTTGCCTGACGGTCAGTGAGACGCCCTGACCCAGATTGTGTCTGACTTTCACAGCTACTCCACCATGTTTGAGACGAGCAATCAGCCAGTTATGGACATCTTCCACTTTGCTGTTTTTGATGCTGATAACAACCGGCTCGACAGACAGATGTTCACCATCACCATCACATCTGCCCAGACAATGCCGTCGCTCATTGCTTTTGCTGATCATATCACTGTAAGTGGCTACCCAGGATACTAGGAACAGTGACAAGAATGTCTTAGATGTGAGGAACTGAACAGCTTTCCTGGACTGAGGGGAAATCGCTGAAGAAACATGGTGTTGCACACGCAATCCTGTGAGTGCAAAGGGTTAACAAATTACTTTGAGGCCAGAGGAGGCCGACAGTACGGCTGCATCCCTGAACCTCACATCTGTTCTAGTCAGGAGCTGGGTTCTCCCTAGGGTGTCCTGTTGATATCAGTGGAACAAGTCTGGCTTATCCCTGTTTAATATTTCGTCCCTTATTTCACCAGCTGATATGTAAAAGATGAGCAGGAGACCAGTCTGAAAACATCTGGTGCTTTGGACTGATACACAGCATTTCAGACGCCTTATCAAAGCCTTTTGAAGTCACCTCCTCCTTTCCAGATTTGCGTTCCCCCTCCCTTGCCTTCAAAAGGCTCCCCTCAACAAAAAATGCAGATCTCGCCTTCCAGGAGGTCAGCGTGACTCTGCCAGTTCTCTTCTTGCCCTGATAAAGCGCTCACAGGTTCCTCTTGGGGGCCAGGCAGGCTTTGTTCTTCCCATCCCACCTCACGTCCCAGCTGATTTCATACTTAACACACCTAGGGGGAGGATGGGACAGGACTTCAGAGACCGGGCAGGCCTCTTCCACAGAGGCAGACTTGTTCAGTGACAATTTGTGTGTTGCTGCGTGTTGTGTGCGCTGGCAGTAGTTTTGTCATAGGCTTTTGCTTTCCAGGTGGATGAGGGTGGCAGGGTCCCGCTGCTGGCTCATCACCACTTAGCTGCTGATTATGATACTGCTGCCAAGGAAGACCTGAGGGTCACAGTTATCACTCTACCTATGTATGGCTACATTGAAAACACTAAGACAGGTAAACTGCTTGGCTCTCTCTTCTTCCTCCTGGCTGGTGAAAGGGAGCATAGGAATTGCCATGCTGGAGCACATTCTAATCTGTCTCACCGCGGCTCCTCAGCGCAGTGCTGGTTGGTATCAGTTGGTCATAAAGAGCTCGTAAGATCAGCGTAAGGAGATAAAGTGTCTCAGGGTGGCATTTCCTCCTAATTCCCGTTCATCGGAGCCTGGTCTGTCTTGTGAGACTGGGGCGTTAAGAGCCTTTTCAAGCCCATGTGTTGTATTTTCATCGCGCTTTATTTTGGCTGTCCTTGTGACACAGAACAAACTTCGCTAAATTCCTCTATACATGTCCTAGCAAGTTTTAAGGCTCTGAGAGCTGTGGCAGAGCACGACTGGTAACGTTCTCTTATCCCATCGTATTATCAAGAATAAGTAGGATTTATGCCATATCGTCCAAAGATGTTAATCCAGGAGATTTGTCTGCTTAACCCTGTGTGTGGTCCTAACAGGAGTGGCGTATATCATATTACTTAAATCATAACTTGCCTTTATAGCATATCACCGTGGGCTGGCCAGCGTAGTGGCTTGTTACAACAGTGATTGCCTTTCTTCTGGAGAGCACAGGTTGCTAACCATTACACACCATCCCTCCTAATTGTGTCCTACAAATGAACTCCAGTTTGTGCCGTTTTGGTAACGGTGGGTGAGCCTCTCTCCTTGAACAGGCAACGGCTGGGTGATTTTCTTGGGTGTGAGACTGAATTTTGCAAGGTGAAGCTTGATGTAGAGATCATGTTGAGGCCAGATGGCACATTAGCCATCATCTCATCTCTGAAGAAAGCCTAAGTAATTCTGGGATGTGGTATTGCTTGTACTGCGCATAAAATTGCAGCTCCGCTAATGCCTGCTCTAATGCAGCACTACTGCAGCAGATGTTGTGTTCTACAAAGGTCACAAGATGTGTGAAAGCCATGATGTAGGAAGGAACATCCTTCTGCACCCTTCACAATGTGCCGTTCTTCTCCTAATCCAGTGAAATGGACATCCTTTCACTAGTGCTATTCTGGTTTGCAGGTGAGAATTTTGGCCCCCAGGGCGAGTCTGCTGTCACCGCAGACGCATCCTTTTCCCTTCAAGATGTTCTGGAGAACAGTATTAACTACTTCCAGAGCGTCCATGAAAGCATCGAGCCGACAAGTGATGTTTTCAGCTTTTACGTGAGCGATGGCTTCAGCCAGACTGAGGTGCAGAGCATTAACATCACCATTCAGGTACGCCTGTGCTCGCTGGCTGCCAGAGCCCTCTCCTTTCACGTAGACACATGACTCGTAAAGTGCAAGCTTTGCTCGCTCCTTTTTAGTACATGGGAAGGGGATTAAAGGGAGTTTCCTTCCTCCTATCTGTTCCCTTCCCCTAGTACAGGCACATCATTCACCTGTGACGCCAGAGAACAGCCTCTGCCCCAGGGCTTATTTCTCTGGTGTCTCCTCCTTAGAAGCAGCCACGGTGCTGGATAAATTTGAAGAGACTGGTGTAGCCCATTAATGGGTATCAGCACCAGTACTGTCATTTGGTAGCTTGTATTTAATTCAGGTGGGCAGCGGTCTTTTCCCCTGGGCCATTTCCCTTTTTTGACCCTGTGCCTTTGGGGCCTGTGCAGCGACAGAATGATGAGCCCCCGAAGATGGTGCTGGAGCCCGTCAGAGTGCACGAGGGCACAGGTGTGGTCGTTACCAACGCCTCCCTCAACCTGCAGGACTTGGACACCCACAACAGTGAGCTTGTCATCACGGTCACCAGAAGTCCTGAACATGGTAAGTCCTGACAAGCTGGAGTTGGGGGGAGAGAGAGGGAGAATGTCCTTGTGTCTTTATATCTGCGCGTGTCGAATAGCCCCTGCTGTGAGGGAGGAGCCTGGCATATTTGGGTAAAGCACGTTTAACCAGCGTTCGGACCAGCAGCCACAGGGAGACTGTGCTTCAGAACAGACCTATTCTTGGAGAGTTGTCCCTCTCTGTCTGTGGGAGAGGGGAAAGGGGGACTGCATGCATTTCCCTGGGAAGTTCCCTTCTGTGTTACCCCATGTACTTTTGCAGGGTTCAGTTCCAAAGGGCTGAGCAACTAGTATCTATCTGCAGAGATAAAGCAAGGCAGGGTGTCAAAGGACATGTTAAACTAGGGAGGGCTGTGCGCCCTTTTTCACGTCTCACTTATGTCATCAAATTCTTACCAGCATGGCAATAAGCAGATAACTTCAGTTTTTCCGGTAAGGCTACGTCCACCTCTGTGCATCCCACTCAGAGCTGCCAGACAGCAGGCTGCCTTCTCCCCATAATTTTCATCCATCTTTTGTCTGTCAGGTCACCTCCGCAGGAGGCAGACTGCTGCGGAGCCCCCGGAGCACGGACATTTGCTGTCCACGGGCTCGGCCTTCACCTACCAGGACATTTTGGATGAGCTGATCGTTTATACTCAGAGCGGTGCAGCAGCACAAACAGACGAGTTTGGCTTCTCCATCACGGATGGACTCTACACGCAGAAGGGGAGGCTGGAGTTCTTCATGGAGCTGCCAAAGAAGCAGCCACCCACATTAGCTGTCAACAGGGGCCTGCAGCTCCCAGTTGGTACGGGGAGAGGGAGGAGAATGGTATTGCTTGGTATTGCTATATGGTCCAGTCTAAACCAGTCGCTGAGCTGGGTTGGCTGAAGCTGTTTGTGGACTTTCTTTCTCTGGTCCAGGCTCTGCAGCATACCTCACAGATCAGCACTTGAAAGCAGCAGCTATTTATTCAGATGACACAACGATTAGATTTGTCATGAAGAGGGATCCCAGCAGGGGCCATCTGCAGCTGACCAAAACTGATAATCCAGTCCAGATCTCTGTCGAAGGACCTGTCAAAAGTTTCACCCAGGCTGATATAAATAAAGGTGAGTGCTTGATTTTAGATAATCACAGTGAGTAATATGTGGCCGTTCTAGTTAGTCCTGCAAGGAGCAGGGAGTTGGACTCGATGATCTTTCCAGCTTGCAATATTCTGTGATTCTGTGGTCTTTGTGAGAGGAGGAGGACGACCTGAAGCAGGGAAGGGAGAGGGAAAGAAGTAAGATAAGGTTGTTGTGTTATTGCAGAAACACGTATTGTTAAGGAATTGTTAAAAAGTCTCTCTGCAGGAGAAAAAGAATAAAGAGAAAAAGCAATGAAGCCAAAATCCAGGAGCTCCATCAAGCCCCACATCCCTCAGCTTAGAGCGCCAGCCTGGTTCCAAACTAAGAATTAAATGACGCAGCCTGTAATAAACCACCTCTTTTCTCCTGTCCCTCTTTCCAGGGCAAGTGGTGTACAGTCACAAGAAAGGGGACCCTGGCGGAAATTTCGCCTTCACCTTTGATGTGATTGATGCAGATGGCAACAAACTGACGGACCAGGTTTTTTATATTAGTGTCTTAGGTAAAAGATAGTGCTGAAGTTACGTTTTCTTTGCTGCAGAGCTGAGGCCTTCATAGATTCCCATCTCACATGTACTGCAAGTTCAGATGTAATTCTTGAGATGCAGTTTTTATTCGCTGTTAATTAAAAGGCCTTTGAAGTTTGGGACATGGGGAGGCTTCTTGGTTGTAAGGATTAATTCTTTGGCTTTGAAAAAGGCAGAAAAATTCCCCTTAATATCTTCATACTGTCTAGATTGTCTTTAAGATGTTGTAATGTTACCATCCTCTCAATTAATGCCAGGACCCAGAGTACCTGTTTTGGAATTACCGGTCTGGGAGGTGTTTGTGTGTATGTTGTCTTTTGCCTGAGCACAAGTACCCGATTTGAATAACACCAAGGAAAGGAGGGTGACTGTCTCCTAACTCAGCTTTGTATTTAACCCTCTCAGAGGACAGGTTTCCCCCCTCCATCATCGCTAACAAAGGGCTGGTCTTGGATGAGAACTCGGCAAAGATGATCACAACCCTCCAGCTCTCTGCCACTGACCAGGACAGTGAGCCGACCCAGCTCCGGTACACGCTCACCAAGCAGCCTCAGCTGGGGCACCTGGAGCACGCAGCCTCCCCAGGTTAGCAGGGTGGTATTTTACTCGGTTGGGTACTCCTAGCAGCAAAGCACTGGAGAATTTTTGAGCCCTAAAGATTCACTGCAGGAAAAATGCGCTTGGAAGCAGCAGCACAGAATTCTATTTTCTGTTAGAAATGAAATGGTCATTAGCCCAGAGAGTTGGGAGAACAGGGCGAGTGGAGGCAAGGCGGCCCGATCATCACAGACGAGGATTTATTCAGCCTCTGGGTGAGTTTATGCCCCATGGTAACCTTGCCTGGTGGACTCTGCAGATCGGTCCAACTTGCCACTGTGTGAATCTCCTCTTTCGGGACCTATTGATGGATCCGCATGACAAGCAAATGTTCAGCCTTTTCTGTGACCACATACAGTACAACACCCAGAAGAATCCATCCCCTAATGTCCATGGTAATAGAGCCCAGCCTGGTGAACAGAGAACTTGCTTTCAATCCCCCTCTTGGCCAGTACGTCCCTTGATCCCTAAACACCAGCCTCTTTTCCCTGCTGTGCTTTGGAGTGGAAGTAGCCGCTGAGTTAGTTTAAAAGGAAGCTATGCTGTGGTGTAATGGATACGCTGGATAACAAATTCTGGTAGTTTGGAGAGGGGAGATTGGTCAGTCCTGTGAAACTCAGCAAGTAATTACCTGCAAATGTGATCTGGATTTTAGTGTTGCCTTCCATGCCCACTGGCGGTACGAGTGTCCTACCCCTCTCTGATTGAATTAGTCTGAATCTATGCTGTCCTATAATACGCTATTCTGATTTAGATTATACTCATCTAAGATTATATTTCTTCTTAGATTTCTCATTAACGTGAGACTGAAGTGGAAATAATCTGCTGTGTGTTTTCAAGATGCAGACACTCCCTGTACAGCTCAGTTTTAGTGTGTGGTTTGCCTCATCTTCTCAGAGCGTAAGGTGTCCTCTGGCAAACACGTTGAAAGGGTAGGAATAATGAATGGAAGTTACAATAAGCCAACCCCCTGCTGAGAGAAAATTAAATACTTGCAACATTTTTGTCTTAATTGCAAACTAAATTATGAATCTTATACTTTGGGGACCTGGAAGAGCTGGATTAAGGATGTTATTCCTCCTGTTATTTAGAACGTGATGATTCTGAATTCTGTGCTTTTTTCATGTCTGTGGACTAAGAAAGGTAGAGAGTCACACACTGTGGAAGAGTTGTTCTTGTGGTTTAAGTGACCTAAGCCTAAGGACAGAGTACTGGAGCGTTCAAAAGAGCAGACAAACCTTTAAAGCTAATGAGCTCTGAGGAAACCTCGGCCAATCGTCTGGCTTGGGCTCATTTATTTATATCAGATCCTGGTATCATTCGTAGTGTGGCCATTTAACATGATAAACGGGTGAAAACCTTTTTGTCAGGGTTTTTGTTGTTGTTAAGAGCAGCAAAACTGTCAAACTGGCAGCGGTGAGAGTTAAAGGCTCAAGTGCTTTCTAAAATGCTCGTCGGGTACTTTCTTCTGTCTGTGTCGCACCTAATGACCTGTAAAGATGTCACTATAAGTCAGCGTTGAAAACAGGGCTTAGTCTGTTCTAAATGCAGGGGTGCAAGGAGGGGGAAAGAGAGCAGAGACTTTGAAGGCATTTTTGAAAACTGCTGTGAGGCCAAGGAAACCTTTTGCCCCTACTTGGTGATGCCCTGGTTTGATCAGTCCTGTGCAGGAGTGAAATGGCAATCGAAGTGTTGCCTCTACTGTTTCTCTGACAGCTTCTCTCTCGCTCTCGGCCCTGAGAAGCCCATCCCCAACAGGCTGTTGGGGTGCCATTGTAAAATTGTAAGTCTGGGAAGAAGACTATACTTCTTTTTGCAGAAGGGGTGCCACTACGTTAATTTAAAAGTTGTCGAGTGGACTTTTTAGGAGGCTCTGTGCCAGCTAAATCCCTGGCTCAGCTGAGGTTCACAGCACAACCCAAACTGGAGGAGAACAAGCCAAGACTGAGTGCTTATGGCTAGATATGTCCAGCTCCCTATATTTTCCTCTGTCTCGCTCTATCTGTTTTACATTTTCCCCTTTTGTTGTTCTTTTAGGGACAAGAATTAGTTCTTTCAGCCAGGCAGACTTGGCCTCTCGCAGCATCCGGTATGTCCACACCAGTGACTTGGAAAAGCATACGGATGCGTTCACCTTCTCGGTTTCTGATGGAACGAATGAGGTAAGTCCCAGCATGACTTTTTTGCCTGAGTCAGAGCAGGCTATTGATTCCGTAGGATGTGGTGTGGGAGTCAGTTTTCCTCCTGCATGCTTGCAGAGACCGTTACACGTAGCAGAGAAAATGAAACAAGCCACACGCGGGCTTGTCATTTGGCAATGGTGGGTGCTCTTACTTCCCCTGCTGTGAGAGATCTTACATACCACGGGGAAGGGAGCAAGCCCTGTGAAGGGAAGGGCTAGCCACCTGAGATGTAGCCTCATGAGACTGCTTTACCAAGATTTCAGTTTCTGGTTTTCATCTGCTTACCAATTGCTCCTGGAGCTCAGCTTTGATCCAGTGCACTGACAACACACCCAGCAGCGCAGTTAGACCCTTGAGAAATGTCTCCTTCCTACTGCCTGACAGGGAAAAAATCATAGCTGCAAGTAGAAGGAGAGGGACAAAGTAGAATGAGGGAAGGAGGGAAAAGTGGGCGTCCATAAATATCACAGAAGGAGGAAGAATAAATTAGTGGGGAAGGATAGTAGAGGTCATATTCACAATATCTGAGCTTAGAAGCTCTTGTTTACTGACTAAACAAGGCCAAAACAAAGTGACCCAAACTCAGTGGATCATTGTGGTCTCCTTAAAGCATTACTGTTTCGATGGAGTTGCACTCTCGGTAAACTGAATTCATCAAGAGAGGCTTTGCCTCCTGTTCCAGGTGAGCCAGACATTTGACATCACCATAAACCCCGTGGATGACTCCCTACCCGTGGTGCAAAGCCTCGGGATGACAGTTCAGGAAGGTGTGAGAAAAACCATCACAGAGTTTGAGCTTAAAGCAACAGATGCTGACACAGAGGTAAGGCAGGACTCCCCATTGCCTCCTCCCTCCCCTGTTGTGCTGCACATCTGGGCTATCAGAAAAATGGGCTTGTGTTCAAAGAGAGAGATCATAGCGAGTGTCATCTCTCCCTGTGATCATACCCTGTCTCTGATCACAACATCAAACAAACCGCTTGTGGGAGGCCCAGTTTGTATATAAATAGATGAATGAGTGCTTGAGCAAAGCTTCATCTGGGATGTCTCCCAGATACATCAGCAGCAAACCTGCGTGGAAGACATTTAGAAGCTGTGATCAGAGCTAATCCTTGCCCTGTCCCACCTGCTCTCTGAACATTGTGGATTTGAACTGAGCTTATGCCTAGCCTTGACACTGAGTTTATGCCTAGCACAGATGAAAATGTCATTTCCTCTTCCTCCTCCTGGGTCTGGCCGGAGGCTCTGCCGTGTTGGCTCTGCCTCGCTGTGCTGCAGTTGCCCTGCAGCAAGAAAGCAGAGCTCCTGGCTGCCTGTTACTGCCCTGAGCCAAAGATCCTGCCCCAAAGATTATCGCGGCTTCCGCCCCGACAGAAGTGACAAGGGGCGGGTTGTTTAGAATGGCTGCAGCATGGGGGTCTGCTCTTGTGTTCGAGTGGGGTCACGAAGGCGGGAGCCATCTCAGACCAGCCGAACCAATAGTTTGGTGTGATGTGTCTAGCCTAGCTCTCCCTGATCGGGGTTGTTTTGTAGATAGCCACCTTGGGAGAGGGATAAAGACAGGGCAGGGCTCAGGATGAATCAATTCAGCCTACGGTGCTGAGTTTCAGCCCTTGGTTGGAAACGCTGTGCTAGGAAAGCTGTCTGGGCGTAGAGTCCCTCTCCAGATATCTCGAGCTGGAAGGACCTGCCTGTCCAGGTCCTGGGGTCACATCATCAGCTTTGCCACTCTGTCTCCTCGGTGCAGGCAGAGTCAATTACGTTCACAGTCATGCAGCCCCCTCGGCATGGCCTGATTGAACGCACCAGCAACGGGCAGCGTTACCACCAAGCCACCACCTTCACGATGGACGACATCTACCAGAACCGCATCAGCTACAGTCATGATGGTAGCAACTCGCTGAAGGATCGCTTCACTTTCACCGTGTCTGATGGGACCAATCCCTTCTTCATTATGGAGGACGGGGGGAAGAAGGTAAGGGCAGGAGAAGGGATGTGAGGGGGAGTCCTTCTGCAGCTAATAGAAAGCTACCTCCTCTCAGAGAAGGGGAGAATTGGCTGCTGTAGCTCCACTGAAGATGAGGGCTGAGTGTTCTCAGTTATGTGATGCCATATGCCTCTTCCTTGGTGTACCAGCCTTTGTGTGTGCAAGCTCGCCCCAGGACCTTGATCCCAGCAGAGCTGAAGGGAGCGAAGTTGGTAGTATGGTGGATGAGGCTCTGACTCCCCGAGTAACAGCCGTCTCTCTGAACTTTTGTCAGGTTGTGACAGCAGCACCGCAGCGCTTCAAAGTGGATGTTCTCTCTGTGGATGATGGGACACCCAGGGTCATCACCAACCTGGGTTTGCAGTGGCTGGAGTACGTGGATGGCAAGGTAACTGCCTGTCTGGGTTCAGCCTGGATTGTTTCTCAGGCTGTTCCAGGAGAAGGAGCTTCACAGGAGAACCTCCTGATCCTTCAGCGTTTTTATTTTTGTGATAAAGAACAGGCCATCCTTCTGTGCCCATGAAGTGCACCAGAAGGCAGAGGTGTGCAGGGATGACTGCACTGCAACTCCATTAGCTAAACCAGTGTCATGGTTTAACCCCAGCAATGTGGCTCCGGGGCACCTGGACCACCTCCTTCCCTTACATCAGCTGGCCCACCAAGCCTGGCTCTTCTTGGCTCTTGCATGAGCTGTGCAGTGCAGTAAAGCTCCTGCCTGCCTTCCTGGGTGGACACGTCCTGCCCCTTGTCCCTCCTGCCTGGGGCGATGTGTTTTCAGCTTTGCTGATGGCAGGGAAGCCTTGCTTATGTGCCGCAGCAGCCATGATAGAGATACATGGCTTTCAAAGAAATGTGGTGTAGGGATTTCTTGCTGTGACATGCCTTTGTTTTGCTGACGTCCAAACAAAACCACAGGGAACTCTCTCTCGTGCTTGTTTTTGAGGACCCAGCATTAACTGCAAATAAATACTTTGGTTCTTCCCAGGAAAAAAGGTTGGAAGCCACTGTAATATGAAATGGTATTAAGAAGTGGCGCTCTCAGCTCCAATTCCTGACTTCAGAAAAAGGACTCCTGCAGTCTCAGGCAGTTCAATTCTCTCTCTTTCTCCTGCTGTTAAAGGTGTTTTCCTTTTAAAGAGAGGTCTTTTATTTTTAAAGAGAAAGCAAAATGTGGTGGAACCAAGGCACATCCATGTGAGGTCCTTTGAGAGAGTGCAGGGTCACTAAAGCAGCATGAACTGTCCTGAGTCGTTCAACTTGAGGCTGTTTGCAAATGTTTTGGGCAAAGCCAGGCCTCACCTGAGCATCAGCGCAGTTCATGGAGCGGTGGTTTCCTGGTGAAGCAAAAAAGATTTGTCGTAGCTTTTAGCCCTGGCTAGATAGGCTGGGCACCTTGTTCTGAATTTGCTTTTCTTTGAGCCACAATGGGTTTTTTTATTGAACAAACCAGATGTGAGGCAGAATGGGGATCCTGCCTGTGCTGTCACACACCTTGCGGGGCATCTGTCTGTTCAAGGCCGCTCTGTGCTTTTACATCACCAAGCTTTTCCCTCATGGAGCATGGTTTGACAGAGGGGTGGTTGGGCTTTTTGGATGAATGGTCAATCAGACTCGCACTGCTGGATCTCCAGAGCTTTACTCCCTCGGTTTGGCTTTAATCCAGGCAACCAATCTAATCACTAAGAAGGAATTACTGACGACAGATCCTGACACAGATGACAAACAGCTGATCTATGAGATAACAACTGGTCCCAGGAATGGTTATGTGGAGAACAAGCTGAAACCAGGGACAACTGTGACCACCTTTACACAGGGTATGGAAGTTGGGCTGTGTACTGTTGCTTTTTTCCTTCAGCTGCTTTAGTTTGTTGAGATAGCTTGCGGGGGCCGGGGGAAGGTGGGAGGGGAGAAGACAAGGGGCAAATCTCAAACGTGTGTCAAAAATAAGAATTGAACTTTGCTCTCAATTGCAGAAATCCTGTAACTTCTTACAGATGCCAACCTGTGCACACCCAGGTTCTCCAGACTCGTTAGAGCTGGAGATTTGACTTGGGACAGTAAAGAGAAGTTGTAGATATTGCATGTGGACCTAATCCTCACAAGGTCTGGATATTGCATGTGGACCTAATCCTCACAAGGTCTGGTAGATGCTTAGCCAGCAGCGCACGCTCAACAACGTCTGGGAAGTTCACTGCTGCAGGACTGAGGGACCCTCCATTAGGAAGGGGAGGTGCGGGAGGAACTGCTTCCTCCGCCGCTGTGCTCTTTCCGATTGCTGCTCCCTCCAGACTCCCCCAGGCAGGCTGGGAGTGAACGTGCAGCGCAGCCTTTTTTAGCATTTCTGCTACTGCAGTTTGCAGAGCCTCGCACCACCACGCCGCAGTAGGTCCTCTACAAATGCAGTCAGCAGTGCTGCCTGTCCCTTCTCATCAGACCCTGCCAGCCATGCCTGGCCTCCCGTGCATTCAGGAAAAAAAAGAAAAAAGGAAGGGACCGACTTTATTTTAGGGCTGAAGCTTAGGAAACGTATTATACTGCAGAAGGTCGGAGAGCCCGAACCATCTCAGCAGTAAGAAGGAGCCCTGTTAGGACATGCCAGATTATAGAACAGAGTTGAAATATGTGTTGCCCAGGCAAATTCATATTCCTTGCATTTCATCAAAGCCACTTTAAATTTACCTTGCTGTTAAGTATGAGCCATTATGGATAAAGACTAGGGAAGGGAATGTCTTGTCACAGCTTGTAGGCTGGCTTCTACCACAGGTGAGACCAAGGAAGTTTAGAAAAGCTGCTGCAGTGTAAAGGGTGTATGGAGAACCTGGTCCCCACGGCCATGTGGATGCATGTCTCCACACTGCTCATCTATAAAACTGGCAGTGAATTTCTGAGTTGGCTCATGGGATGTCTCCTCCCGGCAGAGGATGTGAACCAGGGCCTCATTCGGTACGTGATGCATGAGGAGAAGGTTCAGGAGACCACAGACAGCTTTCAGTTCCTAGTGAAGGACAGCAAACCCAATGTGGTCAGTGGCAACATCTTCCACATCCAGTGGTCTCTCCTCAGCTTTACATACACCAGGTAATGGCATGGGCCTTACAGCACTCTTCTGACGGGTGGGCTCTTCTCTGGAGCGGGGCAGGTTGTGAATGGTAATATGTGATTGGACCTACAGCATGGAAGGGAAATGGTGGGGCAGTTGCCATCATTTCTGCCTGTGTTTTGCTGGCACCCCGCCCAACCTTCCTGTTGAATTAATGCTGTTGATTTCTAAGGGGGGGAAGGGGGCCAACAGTAGCTGGTACAGAAGCAGGACCTCATGTGTGTGTCAGGGAGAAGTGCCTGCCGGGTTAAACCATGGAGCAAGGTTGCCGAATAGCCGCCATCTGCCCAAGTCCCTGATTGTTCCTGTCCCTCCCATGGAGGCAACAGTCAGCCTGAGCCTGTGGTGCTCAGTATCAGCATAAACACACGGTTTGCTCCCCAGCCTGTTATTTATAAATGTCTGCTTGATACGTTCCCAGCTACAGCGTCAAGGAGAACGCAGGCTCTGTGAGCGTCACCGTGAGGCGGATCGGTAACCTCAACCAGTACGCGATTGTCTTGTGCCGCACGGAGCAGGGAACGGCCACCTCCAGCTCCGGTTCACAGCCAGGAGAACAGGACTACATGGAGTACGCAGGGCAGGTAGGTTGGGGACACCAGGAAAGGGAAGGTCTGACCATGCATGCCATCAAGCTTGGATGAAAGAACTGATAAAAACTGATCAAAGCACAAAGGAGAACTGTATTTCCTTTTGAAAAATGTGTGGCTTGTTTGCTTTCAGAAGAGGGTCTCTTTTCATCAGTTCTTTCTGTTGGCGGGTAGGCTTTGCGGCAGCGTTGCGACAGACCACAAGCGTTACAGGTTTGCCTGAGTAGGAATGTCACTCCTGATCATGCAAAGGGCTAAAACCGTGGCTGAGACCAGAAGGGGCAGGGGCCTGCACGCTGCATTTGTCGCTGCCTTTGGCCTCCCCTGACCATTTATCCTCGGTTAAGGTCCATGTCTGATGCCACCTGTGCACAGGCTGTGTGACTTGGGCAAGGGGAAGACAGGAAAGACAGAAAGTTTCAGACCCCAGCCCAAAGAGAGCAGCCCACTTGCTGCCTTTCCAGGTGCAGTTTGAGGAGCAGGAGGACACCAAGGCCTGCACCATCGTCATTAATGACGACGACGTCTTTGAGAGCATGGAGAGCTTTGCGGTGGAGCTCAGCATGCCGGCCTATGCTCTGCTGGGGAACATCACCCGGTCCACGGTCACCATCACTGATGCAGAGGACGAGCCCACCCTGCAGTTCGACAGCAAGACGTACCACGTCAGCGAGAGCGCTGGCTTTCTCTCCGCTCCTGTTGAAAGGAAAGGTGGGTCGAGCCGGGCAGAATGACTTTGTGCTCCCCTGGGGCTCTGCGGCCAGCACGGGAGGGAAAGCGACTCCGTGGGCGGTGCTGCGGGCGAGACGTGCAGAGTCTGAACCCGCAGGGCAGGGAGGGTGGATGGGGAGCCCTGGAGACTGTCCCCAACAGTGAACGGGAGACAGAGAGAAGTGAAGCACCTGCGGGCAGACCGTGGAGTACGTGTGGCTGCCTAGAGCTTGGATTTTAATTCTGTGCTCAATAGATAATAGAAGGGGTTTAGTGCCTGTATCCTGCGGTCTTTTATCACAAGACCAGGATTAACTGTAAAGCTGCTGAGGAGTCTTTGCAGTGTATCCCTCTGCCAGGCTCAGGCAAACGACTCTTTCCTGTTGGCAGGCAAATAACAGTGACCCCCAAAACAAGTGGTGTCCCTTGGAGCTTGCTTGTCTGTGATTTTGGGGTGATTCTTTGATTTTTTTGGAAGTAGCTTTGCAGCACAACCGAAATGACAAGCAGCAACGCAGGGCAGATGGCTTTTTGGGTTCTTCTCTTTCCCAGCTCTGCTAAAGTTAAAGCTCCTGGCTTTTGGATTCATTTCTCCTCCCAACACGAGCAGGAGCAAACCCTTGTATTTATTTGCTGCTTCTCTGCGTTCTAGATACCGTGGTTTATGCGTGCACCCTATCAACGTGCTGTATATTCTTTAACAGGCAAATGCCACCCGTTTCCTGATCGTAGTGACCGAGAGTGCAGATTTGGAGTATGCCTGGAAGTCAGACCTAAGCCAGCTTTTATGCAAGTTTAGGAGCAGGGATGGTGTTCTTTTTCACTCCTCACCCTCTTTTCTGAATGCTGCTTTATTATTTAAGCGAATGGTGTCTCCACCAAATAGAGTGAAAGTATTTCCATAGAGTTACAGGGTTTTTTCTGTTGGGTCTTAGGGGATACCAGCAGCACCGTGTCTGCCGTCTGCTACACTGTCCCCAAATCAGCCAAGGGAAGCAGCCTTTATATGCTGGAATCCGGCTCCGACTTCAAGTCCCGGGGGATGACGGATGACAGCCGCATTGTTTTTGGTCCGGGTGTCACCATGACGACGTGCGACGTCACGCTGATCGATGACAGTGAATACGAAGAAGAAGAGGAGTTTGAGATCGTATTGGCCGATGCCTCAGATAACGCACGCATTGGCAGCCGGGCTTCGGCCAACGTCTTCATCGCCGGACCCAACGATGCCTCTACAGTGTCCCTGGGGAATGCTACTTTTACCGTCAGCGAGGCTGCAGGTGAAGAGTAGCAGGGGGCTCCCCAGGGCTGCTCCACGCTGCGTTGGGGCGCTTGCCGTGAAAGCGCGCTTTCACCAGGAAGAGCTATCAGAAGGAGCGATTTAGGGCACAGCAGCAGAACTGTAAACATCTGCAGAGGGTTTCTGTTCTTCCCTCTGCCCCGGTGGGGGAGGTTGGGGGTTGTTCTCTGCAGTTGCCTGCGCCGATTGCAGGAACAGCGGTGGAAGGAGAAGGGCATGCTGAAGGGGAAGGAGTGGTTTTGTGGTATGCAGCTGCTTTCTCATCTTGGTTCTCTCCCATGTGTAACTGGTGATGCAGGGAACATTGAGATTCCAGTCCTCCGACAGGGACCTGATCTCTCAACCCCCGTCTCGGTGTGGTGTGCCACTCGGACATCAGACCCTCCATCCGCCAGCCCGGGAATCGATTATGTCCCCAGCTCCAGAAAAATAGAGTTCAGGCCAGGCAAGACAGAAGAGGTGAGGAACCACTTCCACTCCTGATGAGTCTGCTCTGTCTAGTGACGCTTCTCTCTTGTTTATGTGCATACTCTATATTTGCCATTTGCCTGTTTCGAAAATCTTCTCGGGGCCGCTTGAGAATTGTTAATGAAGCTGCCAGGCACAGACTCACATCTGATCAGCGCTCCAGCCCGAGAAGATTCAGTCAGGCCACCTCTCCCAGGATAAAGTTGGCTGCCTGTTCTCTGAAATGATATCTAGACCATTGTTTCCATCGATTAATGAATTCAGAAAAGGCCTGACGTGTAATGACTTTACGTCAGACACCCAAATGTGAGTGCTGGGAAGGATGAAAGCTTTGCATCTCTAAAAGCGGGACTTCTGCTTTCCTTCTAGTTCTGCACTCTGACAATCCTGGACGACGCGCAGTACCCGGTGATAGAAGGGCTAGAGACATTTGTTGTTTATCTCAGCTCACCCCACGGAGCCGAGCTGACAAAGCCGTTCCAAGCGATCGTGGCCATTAATGACATCTTCCAAGATGGTAAGTTATCCGTGGCAGCTCTATCCGGTCCCTCCTAGCCTCCTCCTTAACACTTCCACGCAGCAGGAGGCTAGTCTGCATTAGGTTATTTCTAGGCTGGATTTAGCCCATTTTCCTGAGATCCTCCCATTCCATTTGGCTGTCCTATTTCTTTCCATGCTTTGCTGTCCACAAGCGTGGAGTCTTCAGAAGTGCAGAATGACTTTTCCTGTAGTGTTGCCTTGCTTTCAGCCACGCTTTGCCTCCTCTGCTCCGATCTCAGTCCTTGTTTCATGCTTCCTGTGAGCTAAAGTCCTCCTTGCTATGCGAGAAATTCTCACTGCATGTTTGCTTTCCCTTGCGTTTTAACATCTCTCGTGTTTGCTCGCCTGAGGAAAGCACACGCTGTATGAGCTAACTTGTGGTAGTCATAGAATCATAGAATCACTTTGGTTGGAAAAGACCTTTGAGATCATCGAGTCCAACCTTTAACCTACCCCTGCCATCCCACCACTAAAGATGAGGTCCCTAAGCACCCCATCCATCCTTCTTTTAAATCCCTCCAGGGATGGGGACTCGACCATCTCCCTGGGCAGCCCATTCCAGAGCTTGACAACCCTTTCGGTGAAGAAATTTTTCCTAATGTCTAGCCTAAACCTGCCCTGGTGCAGCTTCAAACCATAATAATTTCTGCCTTTGTATCTTTTGTTGAGGTCTGCCCTCTTTGCTGTGAGCTATGTGTTCTGTGTCTGTCCACAGGCAGTAGGATAATGCTTTGAGACATAGCATCCATTTCAGTACTGACTCCTCATGTAACCCCTTCCTGACATGCCTTGCAAACACACGCCATCCCTGTACCGCCACCCGTCTTGTTCTCCAGCACGTTGCAACAGCACCAAAACGATAGGGAAGGAACAAGTTTACAGGCTGCCCAGGGGGGTTGTGGAGTCTCCTTCTCTGGAGATATTCAAAGTCCTCCTGGACACAGTCCTGTGTAGTGTGCTCTAGGAGAACCTGCTTTAGCAGGGGGGTTGGACTAGATGATCTCCTGAGGTCCCTTCCAACCCTTGCCATTCTGTGATTCTGTGAAGTTTCATCAGCGGTGGGAGTTAGGTGCTGAGGAGAGACGCCTTCTTGCTGAATTGCTGCAGGGTCTGCTGATCCTGTGCTCTGTGGAGGGTTGATGGCAGTAATGGTCACTTGCTTGTTTGAAACCAAATCCTGCTCTGAGGCACAGTGAAGCTGCCATTTTATTCTCTGGCTGCCGGACTCCGTGCAGCGGTTCTCCTAGGGTGTATGTGCCTCGATTGGCTCCTGTCTCTCTGTGGAGCTGGAACACTTGACTCTTTTTATTGCCTCCTGCAGTACCAAGCATGCAGTTCACCAAGGATGCATACACGGTGAAGGAGAAGGAGGGTACCTTGCACATCCCCATCTTCCGCACCGGGGACCTGAGCTATGAGTCCTCTGTCAGGTGCTACACACAGAGCCAGACAGCAGAGGTCATGGAGGACTTTGCAGAGAGGAGAAATGCAGAGGAGTCTCGCATCACTTTCTTGAGAGGGGAGAAGGTGAGCTGAACCTGGCTTATAGGGAGACTGGAGAACCATTGATGGGAGAGGTTCAGATCTCCTCCTCGGCTCTGCATTGTCAGAGGGAGCTGACAGAGCCTGTCCACACTGGTTTCGTAGATGTTTCAAATCACAAATTCTTCTGGTCGTGGAGATACGACATGACTCTGAAGGGGTTGTTCATTTCATAACAAAACTGGTTGAAACATGAAAGGCAAATCTTCCAAGTCAGTAGGATTCAGGGTTGTTGAAGCAGAGAGCTGTCGGTTTGTGGAAGTAGACGTCTTCACTGCTGTGTCTCATCATGTAACTGTGTGGTTTGTCCATGCTGCAGTAGCAGCCTTAAAAATAGAAGTGTTTCTTCCAGGATCGACAGTACTCAGACATTAAACCCCAGACAGTGAAGCACAGAGTGGCCCTGAAGTGGCTTCAGGGGATTTATGAATGTTTGCTGTTTTCTCCTGCTTGCTTGGCCTCAGGTGAAGAACTGCAGTGTTTCTATCAGTGATGACCCCGCCTTTGAACCAGAAGAGCAGTTCCAGGTCTATCTTGGTAGCCCGCTTGGAAACCATTGGAGTGGAGCTAGGATCGGAAAGATGGACACGGTGACCGTAACTGTCACCAATGACGAAGATGGTAAGCGATGAGACTCAAAAAGGATGTAGGGTTTAATTTAGTGCTTGTGAATGCCTTCAGTCACATGGTCGCAGCTCTGTGTGCCAGTCACTGATGTGGTGGCTTTGTGCACTGGGCTGGTCTTAAGGGAGGGATTGAATAGCAGTGGCTTGAACCCACCATTTGTCCCGTCTCCCGTTCCCCTGCAGTTGCACGGGGAGCTGCTGTGCTTCCCCTGGGAGGTGTTGCCTTCCCTCCACAGTGTCACAGCTTGGAGAGATCTGTGGGGAAGAAGAGGGACGCCAGGTCCCTCTGGTGTGACCGCCAGTGGGAGCTACAGCACCATCACATGGAATGGATTTGGGGGGGTGTGGATCACTGGGAGGCAGGGAATGGGAGAATCATTTGCCATCCTCTGTAGCCCAATACACGTGTTGGATTTTGTCCCAGCCCTTGCCCTAATTCACATCCAACCCTTATAGCTGTAGTTTTGGCCCCTGCTTTGAGACGCCCCTTGTTCTGAAGATGTGTAGGCTGAGTCTAAAGGAAGTTGAGCTTAGCTAACCCTGGTGGCTGAACGCCCTTCATCTGCAAACAGCCATCTGGTGTGCAAACCTGGGGCTTTTTCTTCACTGATGTTTCTTTAGCACCCACCATTGAGTTTGAAGAAGCTGCATACCAAGTACGGGAGCCGCCTGGCCCGGAGGGTGTTGCTGTTATAAATGTCAAGGTGGTCCGGAGAGGGGATCAGAACAGGACCTCCAAAGTCCGCTGTAGCACCCGCGATGGCTCAGCTCAGGCCGGAGTGGATTACTATCCCAAGAGTCGAATGCTCAAATTCAGCCCAGGTAAAGGGTCCTTGGAGGGAAGATTAGAGGCGGTGGCGTGAGCGGTGGCATTTTCTGTGTATCCGAAAGGAGCCTTGAAGGGAAACACTCAGGAGATTTGGAAAAAGCCAGTTTTTGCATGAGGCTTCCAATGCAACACAGGTCTAACTGCTCCCGGTGAAGTGAACTGCAATAGCTGTAAGGAGGCGTAACGTACCCTTAGATTTTGGGGTTTAGATTTGATTTGGGGTTTGATCTTGGGCTCGTCACAGTCTTTGTGGGAAGAAACACCTATCCAGCTCCTCAGTGTGTTACAGGTGGGGTGCAAGGCTTTTCCCCTTCCCTTGCATTGGACCTGCCCTTTCCCTTCTCCCCTTCTGGTTGCCTAATCGTTCTCCGTTCATACACACTTGGGAGCACCGGCCCTCTCCGCTCGATAAGCAAAGGGCCAAGCAGGGGTGGGCAATGAAAAGGAGGAGGGAATGAAAGCCCGGAGGTGGTGAGCTCTTCACTGAGCAGACTGTAAATGCCTAAGGAGGCAGAAAGATGGTTGGGACTTTCTGCTCGCTGGAATTAATGTCACTTGGAAAAATGGGAAGGCCATCACAAATCTTGCCATGTTTTCCCTTGTGTACAACATTTCATCCCTTCACAGAGCCCCGCTGGATGAGAAGGATCTGGGGTTTGGTTTGTTTGGGTCTTTTTTTTCTGTTTTTTTTGGTAGTGTATTTTAAATATACTACATAGACCACCTCCTATGTGGACTTTTTTAATGCGTGACTCTTCTGGGCTGCAGCCTTGCACTCTGCAATGGCTATAATTTTGTTACGCAAAAAGGCTGAACTGTTAAATGAAGGGTGATCAGAACAGAGGAAGCGCTAGCATCTGGCAGCTGGGAGTAAAGTGGTCTTTGGAGGATGTAAGGCTCAGCAGAAATCTTTCAGCATCCAGCGCAACAGCTCAGACCGTGTTGCTGGACCAAGAAGCCCTCAGCAAACAGTTCTGGTGTGAGAGAGCAGAGATGCTCACAGCAGGGGTGGGAACGTACTTTGGATCATAGATTTTTACTGCAGACAGCTAACACAAGGCAGGCATTATTAATCCTCAGGTGGCATCTGCTAGTAAATCTATCACCTCATCAATTGGATCAGTTGTCATAGCTGGAGTTTTATGTAGAGGGTAGACTCCTGTGTGGACGGGGCTAAATTATTAGTAGCAATGAGCAGAAATAAAATTTATAATGTGTATTTTATCATAATGTTTCAGTGGTCATAGCCTAGACCAGCTGTGCAGTTTTTTTATGAGAACTTCAGAGCAATATCTGATGACGAACTGAGTTCTCTCTCTCTCTTGCATTTCCTCCCCCAGGTGTGAACCACATCATGTTTAAGGTGGAGATCATGTCCAATGAAGACCGGGAGTGGCATGAGTCCTTTTCTCTGGTGCTGGGTCCAGATGATCCGGTGGAAGCTGTTCTTGGAGATACCAGCACTGCAATAGTGACTATTTTGGATCAGGAGGCAGCAGGGAGCCTGATTCTACCAGCACCTCCTGTGGTAAGTTGCCCATTGCAATGGATGTGGTTTAGTACCCTTCAGGTACAGACTGAAGACCCCCATTGGGGTTTCTAAAGCAAAATTTAAGAGCTGCGGCAATGTAGCAGGCTTGGAGTGTGTGGGAAGGACGGCCTGTTCTGCCCCTCCCCTCCGCCCCAGGCGAATGTGGCCATCTTGCATCCATGCAGGTCGTCACCCTGGCTGATTACGACCGTGTGGAAGAAGTGACCAAGGAGGGTGCTAAGAAATCCCCCTCCCCAGGCTATCCGCTCGTCTGCGTCACTCCTTGTGACCCTCACTTCCCCAAGTACGCCGTCATGAAGGAGCGCTGCAGCGAGGCTGGCATCAACCAGTCGTCAATACAGTTCAGCTGGGAAGTCGCAACCCCCACGGATGGGAATGGAGCCAGGTCGCCTTTTGAAACCATCACTGACAACACACCGTTCACTAGCGTCAACCATAAGGTACGTGGCTGGGTACCGGCATGGCGAGGCTGCAAGAGCGCATGGCATAAGTCAGGCGAAATGCGGTTGCGTTCCTGAAAAGTCACGCACCTGAAAAAGCGGCTGTGCCTAGATAAGAGCTCAGCACGCTGATGTGACCTGTGTTTCCAGGGTTTGGCTGTGGGATTATCTGCTTTCCTTCCGTCCGGCTCTCATTTTGCGGCACTGCTGCCTCTGTGGCCTGAGACCCCTCTGTCCCTGGACCGTTCACGTCCTGCCTCACAAACAGAATTACTGTTTTCCTCTGAGGGCTCTTCCCAGGCACTCCTAACTGTGATGTCTCAGCTCTTCTCAGGCATCCTGGTGTGTTTCTAGACCATGCCTACTTGCGCATGAGTCTGAGACATTTTTAATTGCACAGAGATTAAAACCTAAAATCTCCCTGGATTTGGGAATTGGCATGATACATATGGGTGCTTCTTTGGGGATGATTTTTTTTTTTCTCTTGGCTTCAGAAAATTTAGCACTGTTCTTCTCTGAGCCTGCTAAAAGCACCACTTCTGTTGACGTGGGAAGTAGCTGTGAGCGCTCAGACACTTCAGTAAATCCCTGGTGGCAGGAGACAGATGGAGCCTGGCAGATCATAACAGCTCAGGCTCCCTCTTCCCCTCCCTTCCGTATGTGGGCAGAGTTAGGAAGCTGTAAAGCACCCGACATACTCAAACATCTACTGCAGTGTAGGTAACAAGAGGCCAATCACCCCTGCAAGCCTGAATGGCCAAGCAGATGTTGGCATGCGTGTGCTCCTAATTTGCATTTGAGTGTACCTTGCCTCCGTGCTGCCTCAAAACACCAGGACAAAGTGATTTTGCTACGTGGTCAGACCTTGCAACGCTGGTGCATTTGACCCACATCCAATGGACAAGGCTGGCCATGTGGGGACCCCCCTGAGAAGCAACGTGGTTACCATAGGCACAGACAGTGCCATTTGTCACACTCCTGTGGTCGCAGGGACGGCCCGAGGTTTCCAGGCACAGTCGTTCATTGCCACTCTGAAGTACTTGGATGTCAAGCACAAGGAGCATCCCAACAGGTATGAGCCTGCAGAAGGGGAGAGCGCAGTCCTTCACCGGGCCCCCTGGAGTTACAGGGCTGGCTTGGGTCGAGAGGAGAACGTGTGTCTGAAAGCCCATCCCTCCATGCCCTGTGCCCTCTCAAACAGCGCAGGGTGCTCAGGGTAGCACCCCCGCTCTCTTCCTCGCCCCCTGCTCTGCTGAGGGGGTGCCCTTCCCCTCAGGAAATTTGAGTTGGTGGGACAGCTTAAGGAGCAGATGTGTAGACAGGGAAATCTAGCTGGAACTAAATACCAGGCTGCCACTAGCAGGCTTACCCTGTCTGTGCTGTGCTGCATGGGGGAATGCGTGAGGCTCCCGTGCCTGCCAGGGCTGCTTTTTTCCTGCTGTCTCATCCGCTATTTGTTCCAGAATCCACATCTCGGTGCAGATCCCACATCAGGACGGTATGCTGCCCCTCATCTCCACCCTGCCGCTGCACAATCTGCATTTCCTTCTCTCCGAGTCTATCTACAGGCACCAGCATGTCTGCTCGAACCTGGTCACCATCAGAGACCTCAGAGGCATCTCGGGTAATTTTTAAAGCCAATTTTTGCTTTCTGAACTTGGGGGTAGGGAGAAGCCAGTAAAGAAATGCAGAGAAGGTGGCTTTGTCTTCCTCTGGGCTCTCTTGACATTATGTAAGTAATAATTAATCTTCCTGTACTAACAGCAGCTAACAGAGTCGCCCCGTTGAAGATGAGATGCATGGGAACATTGAAAAGATAATGGGGTTAAGCAGCGTTGCTCGGTTTGGGGAGGTTGCAGGTTCACACCCTGCTGGTGATTTTCTGCTTTTCAAATCTGTCTTGTGATGCCCATGTGGTTAGAGGGGGATCCGCAGGGAGTGGATCGCTGTGTCTGTGTCACGGAGGTCTCCAGTGGGGCAACAAGGACCAGGAAAAGCAAATTCACTGCTGAAGTAAATGCCAGAGCTGAAGAAAAAAGTCAGTTTGTGTCTCTAACACTCAGGGTAATGGGGTCCACACTTGTTTCGGGGTGGGCAGGGGGTTGTGGTACTTTATTTGGTTCATTTCATACTCAAGCTGTTCTGCGTTCCTTAAAGTTTAACTTCAACCTTCCGTTAGTAGGTTCATAAGTTTGGTTTTTAGGATTCTTACCCCGTTCCTGTAACATTTTCCCCCGTGGAGACCCGCGTATATTCAGTTTGACCTCTAGGATAATGGAGAGGACCCCATTAAGTCCCTAAGACAGCAAGTCACTGACATGATTAGGGAGTGAAAATGGGACCTTGGTACTTGTCTCCAAGCTCTCTAAAATCTGGAGTGATTTTAATGTGGATCTGTCCCAATGTCTCTCAATCCCAGAGGCAGGGTTTCTGGATGAAGTGACCTACGACAGCATCGTTCTCGGTCCCGGCTATGACCGCCCTTACCAGTTCGACCCGGCAGTGAGAGAGCCAAAGACGATCCAGCTCTATAAGCACCTCAACCTGAAGAGCTGCATTTGGACTTTCGACGCTTATTACGACATGACCGAATTAATTGACGTCTGCGGAGGCTCTGTCACCGCTGACTTCCAGGTGAGATGCCATATCCAAAACTCTTCCACATAATCCAGATCTTTCTCAATTCTTAGGCAAAGCTCCGCTCTGTGTTCAGGAATGTTTGCTAGGTAGGTTTGCTGCTCTGCTCTGTACAATTGGAGCATGGGGGGGGGTTTTCCCCCCTTTATCTAGAAAAGAGCGTGCTTCGTGAAATGCTTTTAATTAGTTTCTTTTGGCTGGGCTAACGTAGGTTTTATTCTTTTTAATCTTCAGAGCACCAGTAAAATATTTTAAGTATAAGGATGTATTGGAAATAGAAAACGTTCTCACCTGCGCTCCAATCTTTTACAATTTTGACTGTATTCTTAGCCAATATAAATAAGCAAAGAACAGAGCAGAGGCACATCAGTTGGAGCGAGGTCCTGGGAATTTTTAAGTAATTTCTTAATTAACCGACTGGCAGACCAAAAGCCAGAAATGTTCTTCTACAAAATAGCAGCTTTTGCTACTAGATAGGTCTCACTGCCCTCTCCTGGATGGATTCTACATGTACATCTCGCTCAAATGAATATCCCATCTACATTAGATTCTTTTATTAAATTCCCAGCCAGAGTGTTACGGCCAGCATCATCTCTTTTAATTCCTGCCAGTCTGGAATACTTTGTTAACTTTCCTTTTATAGCTCCAATTATTTGTGCAACTCCAGAGAAGCTACTGGAACTGAACAACTGCATAATTTAGTACGTGGAGACTGGCACCAACCAGTCTGGAATGTCTTTCTGAGCTCTCTCAGGGGCTGGCAGAGTACAGCAGCGCTCCGCAGATAATAAATGGTGTATATATAGCCGGAGAGCTGTGGTGTTTCAGAATCTCTCAGGGCCAGCCCTGAGCAAGCAGAATTCGCTTGTTTTTAGTTCACGGAATTGGAGACGGAGGAGTTTTTGAGGTGAAGTTGTGACCTCCCTTTGTACCACGACACCAGTGTGCTGTAGCACTTACCCTTATTTAAAAGGCAGGTTTGTCTAAGGTGCCTCCATGTAAGGGTAAAGAAAGTTCAGACAGTCATCTCAGACTTAATCGTAGGAGTTTTGTAGTACGTGAGGAGCGCTCTGCGCCTGCATACTTCTCCCCAGCAGTTTGTTACTATTTTTCAAATGGCAGTCCAGCAATAACTTTTCTGCAGGTCAGCAGGTTTGCCAGTAGTGCTCGGTCTTTATGGAGCAATGACCTTACATTGCTTTAGAAATACTTCAGCCCCACATTATCCTCCCTGTGCTTAGGAGATACGTAGTCCGGAGTGAAAAAGGAGCCTTCTGTTGCAGGTACCCTGGCTTTTTTCCCCCATTTGCAGAGCAGAATGCGAATGCAGTGGGTGCTGTGAGTCTGGGCAAAGGTGTGTAACCACCTTTTGGGGTTTTTATTGACAGGTACGGGACTCTGCTCAGTCCTTCTTAACCGTCCACGTCCCGCTCTATGTGTCCTATATTTACGTGACAGCGCCGAGAGGCTGGGCTTCTCTGGAGCATCACACAGAGATGGAGTTCTCCTTTTTCTACGATACTGTTCTCTGGAGGACAGGTAGGTCTGAGGCATTCGCAGGGGGATGGGAGAATTGGTTTGTTCTCGGTTTTGCCTTTTTTCTGCCAGTTTCTGCCCTGCCACCGCAGTCCCAAGCGTGGGTGGCACTCGCTGAAGCAAAGGGCATGCGGGCTGAGTCCAGGTATGCGGCGTTGGTGTAAGCTCAGCCAGGGGCCTGCCATTTCCCCCCAGACGATGGGAACGGTTGTCACTGAGCCCTAGAAAGTGCTGCAGGAAAAGAGCTCTCTCCTCATCAGAGTCTCCGTAGCCAGGCAGAGGTTGCTCCCTGCAGGATATTTGGAGCGATTTCTCCAACACTTTTCAGTGGTTCTCCTGTGGGAGCTGCAGACACGTGTTCCTCAGCCTCCAGGCTCTCACGGATGGACTTTTTCCCGTAGTATCCCCTTGTTTGTTAAAACAGCAGCAGCAAGCCCTAAATCATTCCTGTCCTCTGCTGGTGGTTACATCTGTGCATCTATGTGTGTTTTATCCTGTGCCTGCATGTCTTCTGTTTCAAGCTTCATTTTCCTTTCTTTTGTTAATTTGTCAATTTTCCTTTCCTAAAAATTTGTTAATTTTCCTTTCCCACAATATTTGGAGCCTGTGTGTGCTGCAAACCCATGCCTGCAGCCTTGAGCAGTATTGCTGCTCGAAAGGCGACGAGGAACAGGCAGTGCCTCACCTTGGATTTTATTCTGCCAGCCGTGACACTAACTATTGTAGAGGAGGGACTTGCGGAGCCCCTCCATGGAGGGCCACTCAGGAATTAAGGCCAGGAGTACCCAGAAACAAATATCTACAACTTATTATGTAAAATAAGTTACGTTCACAGGCTGATCATAGCAGGGAACTCAGCGTATTTACTTCTTTACGCTTGAATGAGACTTAGGCGGCACGCATGGATAATGGAGGAAGCGTATAGCTGGCTCACTGGAGGATGATCCAAATTAAACCATGCCTTTTCGGAGCTCTCTCAAACGCTCTGGAGCTACGTGGGGCTGACAGAGCCCACCCCAGAACCGACTGTGCTGTGTGGCCTCCCCAGTGACTTTGTTCTTGCTGCACCGTGCAGGGATTCAGACAGACAGCGTTCTCTCAGCCCGCCTGCAGATCATCAGGATCTACATCCGCGAGGACGGCCGGCTGGTTATCGAGTTCAAGACACAGGCCAAGTGAGAGCGTTAGTCCTGACAGATTGAAAAATCAACGTACAAATACCCAGATCTGTTCTAAAAACCCAGGTAGCAGAACAAGCCCCCCTCCCCATGAGGAGTCCCTCCGTGCTGAGGTGCTCAGCGTGGGGTCTCCCCGTACTCTGCCTTATCTGTCACCTCCTTGTTCTCACCCCAGGGCTGTTTGTAATGGAGCACCACAGCCTGCCAGATGTCAAATCTTTCTTAATGACTCCAGACCATTTGGGAGGGATCGAATTTGACCTGCAGCTGCTGTGGAGCGCTCAGACTTTCGACTCTCCCTACCAGCTCTGGAGAGCAACCAGCTCCTATAACAGGTAAGGACTGCGGGTTCAACCACCTTCAGCAGCTTCCCACAGCACAGTGTTCTTCTGAAGCAATGAATGTGCGCGTAGGTAACAGCAGCAGCGGAGCGGTTTCTAACCCAGGCCTGAGAGAGCAATCCCTCTTGCCCTCTCAGCACCCCCAGTGGTAGTGTGGCGTGGTCAGGAGCCAGCCTTGTTCAAGGGCTTGGAGCTAGAGCACACGGGGAGCCGCTCTCAGGGCTGAAAACATTCCTCTACAGCTTGTGTAAGTAGAGGGAACAATCCGGTCATCTCCTTGTAAATGCATTTTTCTAGCAGTTAAACCAGTGGCTAGGTAGATACCGGAGGTGACAAATGTATTCAAGGCTGCTTTGCAGTCTGCAAGTTAAAAGCAGGATGTCGCGTCCACGACTGACTTAATCTGTAGTGCTATGCTTGGTGGAGGTAGGTACCTTAAGATCGAGAAATATTCTGTTCGCTTTTTTAAAAAATTCCTTTTCGTTACTAGTTGTGTCCGTGACCGTTTATTCTCCCAGCCTGTGCTCCTTGCAGAGAGGGTCAAATTAAATGCCGCAGGTCAAATTTGTCCCTCCTGTGGCTGCTGAAGTAGATGGACATTTCTGAGGCGAGGGAGAGGTCCTGCTACGAACTTCCCCTTGCCTGCTTACGCTCATTAGAAAATGGTGGGTGCTAGGTGAAGACATGGGCTGGGTGAACAGCTTGGAGTCTCGTTCGGTGACCGCAGTGTCTGCTCTCTGTTCCCAGGAAGGACTACTCTGGAGAGTACACGATCTTCTTAATCCCTTGTACTGTGCAGCCCACCCAGCCGTGGATAGAGCCCGGAGACAAGCCCCTGCCCTGCACGGCTCACGCTCCCGAGCGGTAAGGAGTCCCCGTCATCACGGCTGCAGGACAGCTTCAGCCCCCTTCGGGTTGTTGGTGAGGTCCCAGCAGCCCTGTGGCGCGCTACAACAGCAGCAGGAAGGGAAACGGGGAGGGAAGGAACTTCCCTTTAAAGAAAGTCTTCACTTTCTTTAAAAAAAAAGAACTTTCTTTAAAAAAGTTGCCCTCACCCATGTGCCTGCCTTCCCTCTGTCACATCAAGCGAGACTGTGGACTCCCAGAACAGGGGCTGTCCTGGGCTGTCGTACGTCTCAGCCCAGTGGTTTTCAGCCTCGGGGCTGCAGAAGCCCGCGTGGCCTTCGGTTGTCCCCAGGCAGAGAGAAAAATCAAACCTGTTGGGAAGAGGCTTCAGCTGGTCGTGCAGAGCCCTGCACCATTACTGGAAATCTGGGGCAGGGTGAGGGGCAACAAGTCATCTCGGGTCGAATACCACCGTCGTACGGGCCGCTGGGCTATAAATGGTAAAGCAGGAGGGAAGAACAGTGAAGCAGCGTGTAGCTTCCCATGCGTCCAAATGAAACCTCTCCCTTCTCCTTTCCTGTCCCAATTTTAGGTTTTTGATCCCAATTGCCTTCCAGCAGACAAACCGCCCAGTTCCTGTCGTCTACTCCCTAAACACAGAGTTTCAGCTGTGTAACAACGAGAAGGTGTTTCTGATGGACCCCACCAAATCCGAAATGTCCCTGGCAGAAATGGATTACAAAGGGGCCTTTTCAAAGGGTAGAGCTGAATTTTCTTTTTCTTTACTGTTCTGCTTGTACCTAACGCTTCCATCTTCCCAACTTCCATTCCTCAGAAAGAGAAGGGTAAAACCCAGATTTGGTTTTGCCTCTTTCGCAGCAACAAATGACATTTTGAGGGTGTTAGAGCCCCGTAGCGGCATGACCAGAAGATAAGGCAAGAATGTGCTCTGGCACAGTATCCCGTCATCTGCACGCGCAAATCAAAACCCTTCAACACTCAGCGCCACGTGTAGTTTGGGGCATTTGGCTCTAACAACGGTTCTTTTGGTGAATCGGAGAATTTAACCCGACCGTTTTTCTCCCAACCTCCTCAGGGCAAATCCTCTACGGCCGCGTGCTCTGGAACCCCGAACAAAACCTAAATGCCGCTTACAAACTGCAGCTGGAAAAAGTCTACCTGTGTACGGGCAAGGATGGCTACGTGCCTTTCTTTGACCCAACGGGCACCGTCTATAACGAGGGGCCCCAGTACGGCTGTATTCAACCCAACAAGCACCTGAAACACCGATTTCTCCTCTTGGTAAGTTGTCTGCTGTCGACAAAACTGCGACGTTGAGTATCGCGTGTGATCACGGCCGGAGAAGTCTGGTCTCAGCCTCCTGGTGACCTAACGGACCTGGGAACTAAATGGCCTTCGTGCTCGCGGGGAGGGGCAGCACACACTGGTATTTAGCTCGTGTTGGCTATGTCAGTCCGCATGTCCCCACTGGCCCGACTGTCCCAGATGACCTAGCGCTGTTGGTTGGCTGTTTGACTTCCCCAGGCACCCCCAAACCCCACCACCCTCCCAGCCACCTGCACCTTGGTGCAGCCACAGAAAACCAGAGCCAGCATAAAGCATGGCCCTGTGCTAAATGTTTCCCTTGTCCCTGAGAGACCTGAAGCGCCGGTTTGCAAAACTGTCCTCGCTTCTTCTTTCTGCTTGGCTCCCCCCTCCCCGCCCGACTACGAACAGATTCTGACCACAAAGGGATGAGAAGTGAAATGTGGTGGATTTTTTGCAGTACTGGGCAGACAGGTGCAAACCGTGAAGACAAGATCAGTTTTTCCTGTCTTTATCCATCAGTATTTCTTAGTCTAAAAAAGAAAAACAACCACAAACTAGGAAGAAAAAGACATGAGCCACCAAACTTTTAAAATTCTCCTTGATCCCTGCTTATTCTATGGATTGGAGTTGACAGGACTGGCACCGTGTAAAGGGAGATTTATTTACCGGTTACAGAGAAATTCTTTGTGTATCAATCTACCGTTAGCCCCCACGATGGGTTCAGCTCTTATTTACACGCTTTGTAGTTAACATTTGCCCGCCTCCTCGCCGGCGGCCCCGTTACCACTCACGGGCCGGGGGTAACGTTACTGGTGTCGGTGTGGTGTGCATGTTGGAGCGGGCTGGTTAAATTCTCCTCCTGACCTTCAGCTCTACACGCCTGCTACTGACACGGTCAGTGCTGAAACAGCACGGAGCGTCTACAGATCGCACGGGTCACGAACATTTTCTGTGCAGTCAGGTGTGCTTTTAAAGAAATGTCCGTGCCCACGTGTAGGTGTGGAGACCTGGGTGTTTGGATTCCGTTTCTGCAGCGGAGTGGGTGTCGTTTAGTGAGCTGGCTTCTGGCTTCCCCTTGGAAAGATGACAGCATGCGCTCCGAACCCGTAACTTCGTAACGCCTCTCTTTTCCAGGACCGAAACCAGCCGGAAGTGACGGATAAGTATTTCCAGGATGTGCCTTTTGATGCCCACTTTGCTTCCGAACTGTCCGAGTTCCGTTCGGTAAGCAGCATGCCCGGCGTCGACGGATTTACTCTCAAGGTGGATGCTCTCTACAAGGTACGTACCGCCTGATATTGGTAGCCCAAATGTCCCAAATACTTTGTGAATCGTAAGCACTGGGCCTGACACGGCCTCGAGAAACCAAATTCATGCTGGGGCAGGTCCTGCAGCCTTCTGCCATTCAACGGCAACCCTCGACCAGCATTTCTGATGGGACGCGCTGTCTCCACACCCACCCACAACACGGTCTCCATGGTGGGAGGTGGCCTCGCGTACGCGTGACCCTCTGCAGCTGCAGATCGCGCTGTAGCTGGCCTGGCCTTGATTTGCCTGGGTGGAAATGCAGGCGAGAGCTCGGAGTCTCTGGCCAGCGGTGGAGCAGGTAACCGGTGCCGTTTCCTTCCTCGGAGGGCAGCCGCGGCTCGGGGCTCCCCGCGCCCCTTCCCAATTACAGGGGCAGGCGACCGCTGGTCGCGGTTCCCCTCTGCGCGCAGAGGCTGGGAAGTGTTGGCCTCGGAGGGGCCAAGCAGGTGGTGGCAGAACAGGAGGGGCACAGGGGGAGCTCTCGAGCAAGGGCACAATTTTTATGTGCTGATTTCTGGGCTTGTTTGTCCCTTCCCGGAGAGGCCCCCCCTTGTAACACAGCAACCTCTGTTTGCTTAGAATCGTAGAATCATAGAATCACTTTGGTTGGAAAAGACCTTTAAGATCATTGAGTCCAACCTTTAACCTCACCCTGCCATCCCACCCCCAAACCCTGGCCCTCAGCACCTCATTAAGGGCCTTCTGGGCATTGCTGGCATTGTACCCTAAGTTAACAGTGGAGCAAACTCCAGCACAGAAAGTGGAGATGAGGAATTTATTCTGGTGATTATTTTTTTTCCCAACGCACTCCTTAAAGCTCTTAAAAAAAACGTATTATTAATGTTCCTGAATTAATCATCGCAGTTGCCAAGGATGGACAACAAGACCGTAACAGCTCGCTTGGTGATAAACATTATTGCAGGTGCTCCTGAAAACACACTGAGCTTTTCTGCTGATATCTGCGTGAGGCAAGAAACGGGACAAAAACTGCAGCCACCACCACCTTCACGTAACAAAATCACTTGGTCTAAAAGCCGTGGTTAACATCTCCTCTGTGCTCGTCTCCCCTTTCTTACAGGTGGAAGCTGGGCACCAGTGGTACCTTCAAGTCATCTACGTGATTGGCCCAGAGAGCATGGCGGGGCCCCGCGTCCAGCGATCCCTCGCTCGCCGCTGGAAGCGCGGCCGCAGGGACCTGGTGGAGGGCGACGGGAGGCTGATGCTGGAGGACTCCTTGATCTACGACAACGAAGGCGACCAGGTCAAGAACGGCACCAACATGAAGTCGCTGATTTTGGAGAAGGAGGAGGCCGCCATCGCAGCCTCCTTATCGCAAACGGGCGCTTCGCTGGGGAGCGCCTTCGCTGCCGTCACCCTCCTGCTGCTGGTGCTCGCGGGAGTTTGCCTCCTCGCCAGAAAGTGCCGAAAGCTGCGGAGGAAGCGGGCGGCTGCCAGAGCCGCCCCGGAGGAGCATCCCCTGAACACCAAGGTGGAGCTGCCCAGGGGCGCGGAGAAGGCCCTGGACAGCCGGTACTGCACCGTGCGGAACGTGAATATATTGAGGGAAACGGGGGGCGTCGGCGAGGGGAAGGGCAGGAAGGTGAAGCAGGTGAATTTGGAAGTCAAAGTCCACAGCAATTTGCACGACGGAACAGAAGTTTAACGGAGCACGCGCTTTGGTTTGCTAAAAGCTTTTTATAAATTGTAAAAAAAAAAAAAAAAAAATATTCAAAAAAAAGAAAAGCTATGAGAAGTTGTGCTGGTACTTTTATACTCCTGGGAGGAGAGGCTCTCGCTCGCCTCTGCTCCGGGCTGAGCT